CCCCCCACTCCCCTGTCCTCCGCCTGTCGGCCTAGCCCCACCCCCTACGCTCCTGATCAATCTCTAGTAAAAAAGGGGTTCCAATGCACGCCCGCCCTGACCGCTCTCCCCGCTCTCACCGCTCTCATTCCCTATGTGCCCGAGTCACTCCCTAATCCAACACCAACCCACAGTCACCCCCCCCCCCACCCCACCCCCAGCCCCGACATTCCTTTCACTCCACCCGCACCCACCCACCCCACCCCCCACTCCCAACCCGCCCCCCTCCGCCTGTGGGCCTCCAATCTTTAGTGTTTTAGGGGTTCCAATGCACGCCCGCCCTGGTCCCACCCCCCACCCCCTCCCCCTCCCAAACCTCGTCCCCTTCCGCTTCCACCCGCCTCTCTCACCCCCCCCCCCCCCCCCCCCCGCCCCCCCCACTCCCCTATCCTCTGCCTGTACCCCCCCTCTACCCCCCCCTCTACCCCCCCCTCTACCCCCCCTCTACCCCCTCCATCTTCCCCCGCTCCCTCTCTTGCCCCTCTCTACCCCCCCCTCTACCCCCCCCTCCCCCCTCTCTACCCCCCCCTCTACCCCCCCCTCCCCGCCCCCACCTCCCCCCCACTCCCCTGTCCTCCGCCTGTAGGCCTAGCCCCACCCCCTACGCCGCTCCTGATCAATCTCTAGTGTTTTAGGGGCTCAATGCACGCCCGCCCTGACCGCTCTCCCCGCTCTCACCGCTCTCATCGCTCCGCTTCCCTATGTGCCCGAGTCACTCCCTAATCCAACACCAACCCTCACTCCCCCCTCCACAGTCACCCCCCCCCCACCTCGTCTCCTTGCCCTTCCACGCCCCCCCCTTTGTCTCCGCCTCTCTCACCCCCCACTCCCCCACCCCCGCTCCCCCCCCCCCACTCCCCTGTCCACTACCCCCCCTCTCCCCCCCACCTCTCCCCCCCCTCCACCCCCCCCTCTACCCCCCTCCCCTCTACCCTACCCCCCTCCCCCCCCTCCCCTCCTCTACCCCCCTCTCTACCCCCCCCTCCCCACCCCCACCTCCCCCCCACTCCCCTGTCCTCCGCCTGTAGGCCTAGCCCCACCCCCTACGCCGCTCCTGATCAATCTCTAGTGTTTTGGGGTTCCAATGCACGCCGCTCTGCTCTCACCGCTCTCATCGCTCCGCTTCCCTATGTGCCCGAGTCACTCCCTAATCCAACACCAACCCTCACTCCCCCCTCCACAGTCACCCCCCCCCCCACCCCACCCCCACCCCCGACATTCCTTCACTCCATCCGCACCCACCCACCCCACCCCCCACCCACCCCGCCCCCCACCCCCTCCCACTCCGCTGTCCTCCGCCTGTGGGCCTCCAATCTTTAGTCGCCCTGACCGCCCTCCCCGCTCTCACCGCTCTCATCGCTCCGCCTCCCTATGATGCGAGTTACTCCCAACCACTCTCCACTTACCTCACCTCCTGCACTTACCCCTCCACTTCCCCTCTCACCCCCCACTCCCCCACCCCCCGCCCCCCCCCCCCCACTCCCCTGTCCTCTGCCTGTAGGCTTCTACTCCGCCTGACCAATGTCGCCCGCCGCCCCACCCCGCCCACCACCCACCCCCACCCCCCTCCACGCCCTCTCCTTCCATGGTCCTCCCCGCCCCGACGCCCCCCCCCCCCCCCCCCCCCCCCCCCCCCCCCCCCACCCCCCCACCCCCCCACCCCCCGCACACGCCCCCCCCACGCCTGCTCCGCTCCCCCCTTCCCTCTCACCCTGCGTGTCCTCTTCCTTCCACTCCCCCACCCACCCCTCCCCCACCCGCCCCCCACTCCCTCTCTGTGCTCCCATCCCTGCCCTCACCGCTCTCATCACTACCCCCTCCCCACCCTCTGCCTATACCCATCCTTCCCTGCCACTTTTTCTCCACCCACTCTCCACTTACCTCACCTCCTGCACCTACCCCTCCACTTCCCCCCTCCCCCCCCCCCCCCCCCCCCCCCCCCCCCCCCCCCCCCCCCCCCCCCCCCCCCCCCACTCCCCTGTCCTCTGCCTGTAGGCCTCTACTCCGCCTGACTCTCACCGCTCACCGCTCTCATCACTACCCCTCCCCACCCTCTGCCCTTGCCCGTCCTCCTTCCCTGCCACTTCTTCTCCAGCTACTTCCCACTTACCTCACTTGCCCTTGCCACTTTTTCTCCAGCTACTTCCCACTTACCTCACTTGCCCTTGCCACTTTTTCTCCAGCCACTTTCCACTTACCTCACCTCCTCCACCTACCTCTCCACTTCCCCTCTCACCCCCCCCCCCCCCCCCCCCCCCCCCCCCCCCCCCCCCCCCCCCCCCCCCCCCCCCCCCCCCCCCCCCCCCCCCCACTCCCCTGTCCTCTGCCTGTAGTCTCCTACTGCGCATGTCAGGATTCCAATCCAGCCCGCCGCCCCTCCCCGCTCTCACCCCCCACCCCCCCTCCCACCCCCCCCCACCCTGCCGCCTACTCTGCCCCCCCCTTCCTCCTGCTTGTTCCAACTTGGCGTCCCCCGCCCCGCCCATCCTGGCTCCCCCCCCCCCACCCCCCCCACCCCCCCCCCCCCCACCCACCCCCAGGATTCCCGTCCACGCCTGCCCTGACCAGCAAAGCTCTCACACCGCCTCAACGCTCTACCGCCCTCCAACCCCCCCCCCCCCACCCCCCCCACCCCCCCCCCCCCACCCCCCCCCCCACCCCCCCCACCCCCCCCCCCCCACCCCACCCCCCCCCCCCCCCCCATCCCCCACCACCCCCGCCCGCCTCTTGACCAATCTCTAGTTTTAAGGATTCCAGTCCATGCCCGCCCTGACCGCCCTCACCGCTCTCATCACTCCCCCTCCCTATGCCCCCCTCCCTCCCTGACACCAACCCTTTACCCTCAACCTCGACTCTTAACCCCACCCCCCCACCCCCCCACCCCCTACTCCGCCCCTGACAACTCTCACCAGAGCTGGTCAGTCAGGCCCCCCTTTCCGCCAGCCCCCACCCTCTCCCACTCCCACTCCCTAACCCTCCCAGCCCTCATCATTACCCCCTCCCACCATCGTGCACCATCCGACCGCCCCCCCGCTCTCACCGCTCTCATCGCTTCTTCATCTCTATGCCCCCCAGTCCACCCCTGCCTTCCGCCCCCAACTCCCTAATCCGACACCAACCCTCTACCGTCACCCCCCACACCCCCCACCCCCACCGCCCCCCTTCCCACCCCCCCCCCCCCCCCCCCGCCCCCCCCGCCTGCCCGCGCTCCACCCTGCCTTCCGCCCCAATGCGACTGTCTTGGGTGTGGGGTCGGCGGCACTGGCGGTAGCCATTAAATATATATAACTACACAACATGCTAACCAACACCAGTATCCTCCTTGTCGGATGCCTTTGGCTTTGCCGACTGAGGCTTCTTCGCGTTCTTCGTGTTCTTCTGGGACATGGCTGCACTGCGTGGGAAGTCTCTTGAGATTTCTTTGCCCGGCACGATGATTGAGCCAAACTGGCTCCGAGAAGCCCACACTTGTGAAGCTGTGATACAAAAGCGCAACTAAAACTGCAGAACATGGCAACAGCAGTTTTGCCAAAGCCACTGGCTGCAGCGCGGAGACGATCAGACACCACCGTCTGAATCCGCTGCTCTAACCTGCCCCAGTGACGGTGATCATTTCAATCCGGGCATCAAAGGATGTCTGATCTGACTATTGACCACCGAGTCACAGAAGGTGCGTAACGTGCTGCCGTTCGTTTACATGGAGTTCTGTGGAGGTCGACTGCTTGTAAGGGCAGCGGTTTTGGTCGCATGGTGTGACATTGTGTGACAAGGCCAGACCAGGAGCAGTCTAAGTCTAAGCCTGTGTAGTCTTCTGTGCCTCGGCAAAAAGAGACAGAAGGGGAAGGAAGTGCACCCCCGGCCTCTGCTCGAGACCATCCAAGGCACACTTGGCAGCGTCCGCCTCCCTGCTCAGCCGTGTTGGCATCTCCTTCACCACCGCCTTCGGAAGATTTGTGAATCAAAGTTTTTGGGAGGCGAACCCCCCAACAGGGCCGTTGGATGCCGTGAAGGGCGTCGGACTGCAGCCCGTAGCAGCGGGCCTCCAAGGCCCCCAAGCGCTCGGACAGACCGGCTGCGGTGCCACGCCAAGCCCCTGTGTCAGAAAGGGCAAGTGTTAAGGAAGGATGAGTTGGGCTTGACATCCTGGGCTTTGGAATCAGAATCTCAGAATCTTGGGCTTTCGGGGCCCGGGCTTTGCCTCTATGTACTGTGATTGGGAAGAGAGCGTGTACTGATTGAGCGCCAAGTCTGGCAGCTTGAAGATGTCTTCCCCCCCCCGCTTTGCCTTGAAGCTCGGTAGCCTGGTCTTCCAGCTGCCGCCTCGCTCCCAGACATTCTGCATCTGCATTCGGGGTGCGGCATGGTTTGACTTTGGGACAGAGCTGTCTGGAACACTGGTGCTCGCGATTCCGCTCATTCTGAAGACCTGCCAAGACGTGCCAAAGCCGGACCTTGGGGCTCGCATGTGCCGTGGAGAAGTTCTAGCTTATGAGAAAAAGAAGAAGATGGAGTGCTGCTGTTATGGGGAGGTACGATGCCTGACAAGCCAAAGTCCTTTTGAAGGGGTCCCAAACAGCCTCGTGGCGCAGTCTGCCCGGAGGGAGGCGCAGGACTTTGACAGCTCCTCGAGCTCGGAGCGCCGGGCAACCTTGCTCATGCTGGACTAGGGAAGAAACCCATCAGGTTTATAAAGTCAATCCACACACACATACACGCAAAGCACCTGTCCAAGAAAGTTGAGGTTTGCAGGCTCCACCGGCGTAGTGTGCGACCGTATGCAGTGAATCTACTGCACGTCAAAGTTTTCTGGTGCACAGCCAGCTTCGGAAAACTATCGCCAGAAGAGCAACCCAAAAGCCGACTGTGGCGTTTGTGTCTACTGAGCTTTGCCTTGCTCTGAAATCCTGAAGCAACGCAACATCAGCCAATCGGACCTCATGGTTGGGAATCCAGGCATTGATCTCGGTGCTGTGGCCCTGGACCTGCGCTGGTAGGACCAAGTCAGTCAACCCACATGGAAGGCCGGTCAGTCATTTCCCTACCTGCGCTGCGGGCTGAAACGTTGAGTTTAAGTTTGCCAAACAACGGGAGGATGCGCACCTGTTCCTGAAGGGAGTCCACGTCATCGCTGACCTTGGTGACCTTCTCCCACAAGCAGTCGATCATGCTCACGGTGGCTACGGTCTTCTGCGGAGCAGTGGCAGTGGCGGAGTCCAGCACCTGCCAGTCCCCTCGCAGCTCCGGGCCCACGCTGCGCTCCGGCCGGCCGCGCCGCTCCGCAGGTGGTGCTGCCGGAGCTGCCAGCGCTCCTGGCGTCCGCAGGCCCCTCGCTGGGGCCGAGGGCATCGAGGGCATGGAGGGCATGGAGGGCATCGAGGGTGCGGAGGGTGCGCTGGAGACGCCTTCGTCGCATGCGCTTGCGACTTCTGAGGCAAAGTGTGGCACCACCTGCCCGGACGCGCGGGCCAAGGCGGCCTCTGCCAGCCTCGAGTCGGAGATCAGCTCTGCCTCGCTACCCCACAGTTTCGCGAGGTCGGCTTCCATCTGGGTTCCACTAAGCACGATGAATTGTAATTACAGTTAAGTGCACGGCTTGTCGCTGCGTGCAACGGCAGCTTGGTGGGGCCCAGATGCTGCACGCAAGCTGAAAGCATCGAACATCAGCAGGAACTGATCGTGTCATTATGATTGGCATGGAAGTGATGTTTTGGCAGGACTTCTTGCAGTGCGCAGTCAGCAGATTCCGATAGAGTCTTACCCAGCAGCACAGTTCCAGAGGAGGTGAGGGACATTCAAGCCCCAAGGCTGCCAGCACCCTGAAGTTTGTGCCCTGAGCCTTATATACATTCGTAAACGATCAAGCCAAGCCCCAATGAACATCAATGAACCGATCAACTGCAGAGGTTGCACGCGATCAGTATACGTAGGATCTTGTTCCAGGCTTGCCAGTCTAAAGAGCGCCCTGACAGCTCAAACCCATCTCTAAGTCTATGTTTGCTCCCAAATCCCTCTGATTCTGGCCTTGGCTTCACAAGCGAGGCTGTCAGGGAACCTCGGCAACTCCAAGATGCGTAAAAAACTGGCCCTGAATGGGAGAGATCAAGTACACGGTGCCTTTCAGATTGGCCCTGATTCGGTCAGTCAAGTCTAGCAGCTAGAAACGTGTCCTTGGCAGAACTCGGAAGCCTGTTGACAGCTGACAGTTCCTGATGGGAGATCCCGGAATATCCCGGAACACCCAGGATCACCCGAAAGCAAATTGGTTGAAAGCCAAAGCAACCGACACGAACGCCAAAAGCCGAATTCGGTCCCAAACATGGCTGTATCTGCACGCGCGCGGGATCCCGCTGGAGCGCGCTGGCGCCGATATGTTTCTTGCTCCCCCCCCCCCCCCGTGATTTCACAGCCGCCACCTTTGAAAGATGGAAACGATGCGAATGCAGAACTCTCTCGATTTCATGACTGCTCGCTGTCGCATGGACCCGCATGGATGTGTAGCAGATGCAATGACCCCGCATTTTCTATCAACTGACATCTTCCTGCGCAGCCGCTAGCCAGTCCACTTTGTAGAACAAGCTTCCCTCCTTGAGTGTTGCCATAGTGGGCATCGGAAGAGGTACCGAGAGATATCCAAAGTCCGAGCTGTGTGGCAGCTCCTCAGGTCGAGACAACACCTTTTGCTCCACCGGGGTTGGTCCCTGTTCTTGTAGCCGGCTGGCTTCGATGGCCTGCAGTGCAGCCGCCTCCTCCGCTGTGAGGATGTGCCGCTGCATGGCCGGGTGCTTCCTGAAATCCAAGCGCTGGCAATGGGGCGGTTCTGGGGCGTGGCGACGCCAGAAGTTGAAGACAAAAACCCTGCGCGTCTGCTTGGTGTCTAACCAGATGTCTACCGGGAGGCTGCCGTGGTGCAGGTCTGCACGGAAGATGACCAGGCGGTTTGTACGAGGCATACTGAGATAGGCCTTCCGAGGCAGGGCCGGCGTTAGCCGGCCTTGATGGTCATGGAGCTGGTCCAACACCACAGTGGGGCCTCCCTCATCTGTGAGGTAGAAGACGCTCGACCATTGAGGCCGCCAAGGGTTGCCGTGGACCCACTCTGAGTTCGCATCTGCATCCACGGCCTCGTCGTAATGAAAACCAGCACCGAGGTTCACAGACCGCACCCTCGCCCAATATTCCACCCCTGCAAATTCACCTGGCTCCTGCTGCAAGATGTGCCGGAGGATGGTGAGAGCAGCAACTTCTGGCACAGTCTTGGCGCCTTCGGAGCCCGGAAGCCACATGGTCGAAGCTGCACCCGGAAAGTCGTCGTCGGCTGCGTAGACCCAACGGTTCGTAAAGATGAACTGGAAGTGATCCTACGCATGCACCCAAACAGGACCCATGACTCATGACCAATGCATTTGGGTTGCATGTCACTCCGCACCTACGTCGACCACAGCCAGACAACCTGCGCACTACAAAGTTCGAATGCTCGGTGATTTCTGTACGACACTCTTCCAACGAGGACGGGAATCTCCTGTCGAAAAACGCACAACCGTCTGTATACGGGACCTTCGCACACAACATCGCGTGAAAATGCTGCGCGCGTGCCTAAGCAGTGTGATTACGCCTGCCTGGTGGAAACGGTGCGAGACGGTCCTCCACACACTCCTGCAGCTTCTGTACCAGGCCGTCACTTAACACGTCGTCCCAAGCCACGATCCCAGATTCCAGCGCGGGCTGCAGCAGCTCCGTCTCGGGTTGTGGCCTCACAAAGTTCTCCTGCCATCGTCGAGGCTCCTCTTTTGCAGCTCTCCGGATGTACTCGGCTGCCCCATGCTCCCAGGTCTCCCATGCTCCCACGGGCAGGATGTAGACACGCTGATGTCCGAGCAGACCCTCCCGTCGCCCGGTGGCACTGGGATCCAACACTTCCAAATGCTCGTAGCCTGCCAGGGCCTCAGCCAGGTGACCCAGGTGCTCCATGCAGCGCGAGCGCGTTTCCCAAGCGAAGATGTGGTCAGGGAAGGCTTCGATAGCCATGTCCATCCACTGCACCGTGCGCATCAAGTCATGCAGAGATTCGTATAGCAAGCCCATGCAAAATAAAGCTTCTGCATCGGCGGGGTCCGACAATACAGCCCTCACAAAGAGCTCCCGGGCTTCGTCCACGTGACCGACCTGTAGCTCGTGCCACGCCTCACGCAAGTCATCGTCAGAAAAGGGTGGCTCCCTGCAGTCTGACAGGTCCAGCGCTTCGTTGCGCGGGTCCGCAAGAAGCAGGCGGCGCACCCTCGCCAATTTCGCCCCTCCATTCTCCAAGGGTGGCGCGGTGGACAGGAGGTCCGTGCCAGGCAGTTCGGAGCTCACGGCCTTCGCTACCAAGGCACGTCCCCGCCGTCTGGAACGTTTGAAGCAGGCGAAGCCAAAACACATTGAAGTTCGTTCCAGAGATCTCACTCTCTGGTTTTGTTCGCTCTCGGCACACAAGATACGCAAGGCAGGCGGACCGCCAACAATGGGATGGGGCCCCTGGATTCCCTGGATCTTCCATGGCTGAGCATGCTTGCAGGTGCAGCGCAGAGGCTGCATGGCACAAGACCTGCAAGAAGAGATCCCCGATATTAATACAATAAGCAACACGTCGAAAGAGCGAGCTGATGCTTGAGAGATGCTGAGACCATCCAACCACGCACGAAGCAGCTTCCAGCTGCAGATGTATCGCAGCTTTAAGGCACCGTGGAGGTCTCAACCCACAGCTCATGTGCTTTTTTGTGGTCGCAAGGGATAGCAATTCGCAACCAGCCAGGAATGTGGGCCAAGGTGTAGTTCCTCAACAGCACCAGGGCGACAAAAACACTGAAAATGTCACAAGATCTGGCATTCAAACGCGCCCCCCTTTCAGCCGAGCCGCTCCACTGCACAGGGTTGCGCAGCCATCCCCGGCGCCACCACCACCTCTCGCAAATGGCTGAAGTATAAGGTATCCGATGGAGCTTCAACCGGCTGGAAACCTGGTCGGAAACACACACGTCACAAGTCACACCCCTAAAGAGTAATACTGAGCATCCGTAAACTTAAACTTGGCTGCCACAACGGACATGTGTACGAACACATGACGCGTTCCAGCGTGAGGCGATCCTGCTTTCCTTACATCTTGCATGCCTTTGGGCCTTTGGGCTTGTACGGTACCTGGTAGCCGCTCAGCGCCGCAGCCCACCAGCTGAAGGTGGAGGCACTGATCACGATCCTCACACAAAGGCTGGGCGATAGCCTGCAATCTTGTTATGACTTGTAAAACCTTTTCCCAGATTCCCCTGGCCCAAATTAGCCTTGACCCGCAGCAGTTAGGGCTGCACTTGTGCAAGCTTGCGCGAGCTTGCGCGCAAGTAGATTTTCAACGGGGAGGCAGCGTGCTAAGTCCTCACCTCCCCGCGCCCTCAAGAATCAAGCCGCAAAGAAAACCTGCGATGCCCCCCCAAAACCCTCGGAACAGACAGCTCACCTGAGCCCACGGACCAACTGCTTTGTACGTACTTGCCACATGTGATGCCCCAGATGAGATATGGGAGCCCAGGCACCCAGAGCAGCAGACGGCCAGGACGGCCAACACCAGATCGTCCCGTACCGGCTCCTTTAGCAGCTACTTTAGAGGTTTCAAGGCCTCGGGCTGAAGCAGGTTCGGCCGTTGAGGATTGTGGTTCAGCCCTTGTGGGCAGTGGTGGTCAGAATCCTCTATCCCCTCGACGTACCGGTGCCTATTCGTCAGCGGCGACCTTAAACGAAGACGTTCAGGGCTCCCGAACGGTTCGCTCTGCCAGGCGGCTGTGTTGTATCGTGACCCCTGCGTTCGCGAGTTTGTGTTTGATTAAGAGGCAAACAAAAGGGAGCCCCAGTTTGTACTTGTCGGTGAACGAGCCGTCGTGGTCTTAAAGAAAACCATATTTGAACTTCTCATCCAATGAGGCAGGGACCCAACGAACGTGGCAGGCACCACGAACGCGAGCCGCAAACAAGTTTTCCGACAAACCGGTGCGGTATCGCCCGAAATGAAAAATTCCAAGGCTGACAGGTGTTGCAAGACACTCTTAGAACTTAGAACTCAAAAGTTTCGGGATTGCAAAGATGGACTCGCCAGCCCTCCAACCGAGCGGAGTATACTCGACAACTCGGCAAAGACCCATCTTGCCTCGAAAAAGCTGTGCCTGGCGCAAACTTCTGTGGCCCAGCCGGACTTAAGCCGCTCCTGCAGACATGCTTGGGGGCTTAAGCTCATTTTCCGGACTTGGGGTGGCAAAGAAACTCATGAAATTTGCAACACGTCTCTACAAAGCTCGAATGCTTGACGCCAAACACACCCGGCCCTTCCGAGGAAACAAGAGCATACGCCGAACCCAACAGGAGGGGTCTTAGGGTGAGAATCCCTCGAGCTGTCCGGCTCGTCGGAGAAGAACACGCAGTGGATGTTCTTGTCCTCTGCAAGCACGCGGACACACACACACACACACACAGACACAGAGCGACGTCGCGTGAGAATGCCAAGAAGGAAGTGCTCAAGGGACCTAGCAAGCTCGAACAGAAAAAACTCAAAAACAAAGGCGAGCAGCTGCGCGGTGCAGCCACCTGATCCGCGCCTTTGCTATGCGCGTGGCCTTGCGGAAGTACCTGAGATGTTGTGAGAGGTAGTGCTTTGAATGCAGGCCTGGTGCCCACTCAACCGTAACATCCCAGGCACGGCGAGGCAAACAAAAGGCACCTCTGAGAACTGGTGAGAAGGTAAATCCTCTGAATGTTACTGCTCTTGCTACACGAGCCTACACAGCACTGTTAGGGCACGGCATATAATAACAGGGTGCAACATCTCCTTGAAACGAGTGTGGATGCGGCCGACATGCGGGATACCCAAGCCCTCGCCCCTCCTGTCGCCCAAGCGCACATGGATGGCCAGCGTGCTCGCAGCCTTCGCGGGAACTTTCAGGCTTTGTCCATGAAAGTTGGCTCCGGAAAGCCCATCTGGCGCGCATACTTGATCGCTTGGCGCACTCCACTACCATCCGAGTCAATAGCCACAGAACAGAACACCCCAAGAAAAGCTCAACCTGCTGAGTCTTTGCGCCCAGGGCTCTGGGTTTACATGCTGCGCTTGCCGCCATCGAAGGAACAGGGCATGAGCTCGTTCTGCCAGGCTTGTCGGGAGGAGATATCTCCTGGAACATCAGTCAAGTTTGAGAAGTGAGGCTCTACTGCTACTGGCATCCACCACGTGCTTGTAAGCCCCTCCCCATGTCGCACCTTACCAGCTCCATGTGGTGCCAAAAGTAGCGCAAGTTCTGGAAGTAGCCGTGGACCATCACCGCCGTTGCACCGGTGGGTAGGCGAGGCTCCTGAAGGTCGAAATTCCAGGAATGACCCCTGGGACACCTCCTCGTCACAAACTCCAAGCTTGGCGTGCGGAAAGGAGGGGTGTGTTCTTAGCGACATCGCCTCAGGAGTCTTGGCCAATGAGTTTCAAGACTCCCAAAGAGCCTTCGGATCTTGGCGCGGATGCTAATCCCATGACACGCGAAGTAGCACAGTACCCGCGCTAAAGAAGCTTCCGCTGCTACCTCAGCTGCTACGCAATTAGAATTTCGAACTTTAAGTCAAGAACCTCTCACTCCTCGTAGCGCATGTGGCTCGGGCTGCCAATGATGGGGTCGAGTCCCATGGCCCTCCCGAGCTTTACACCCTTTAGAGATGGCTTGGGGTAATGTGTGTGTAGGTAGGTAAAGGAGAGAAGCACCTGGCACTTTGACCCTTGGTCATTGACGAAGCTTCAGGCGAGAGAGAAAGAGAGGGAGAGAGCGAAGGAGAGAGAAAGGGAGAGAGAGTCAGAGACAGATGCCGGCCTGCCATGCCAGTGCGTACAAGGCAGCCTCGAGAAAATCCCACCCATGTCCGCGTAGGGAAACCAGCTCACGCCTTGGCACAAATGTTTCTTTGAGCTGAGGACACTTCTTGCCAGGGTCGGGCAACAATGCTCTGGCTGGGATTGAAACCACCCTCCAACCCGCACTTGTTCGATCTAGGCCTCCACTCAAAGCCAAGAACCCCTCCTCCTCCTCCAAGCGGGGGCCCAGGCGCTGGTTTGCAAACGGAAGCCGAACCCGAAGTCTGCAGCCATAGCCAAGGCCGCAGCGACCAGAAACCTGTCATTCGGACCCCCATGACGCATGCGGTTCTCCAGACGTGCCCAGCAGCCAGACAGCCGCAGAGACTCGAAGGTCAAAGGTGCTGCAAATGAACATCCACCCAACATCCTCAAACATTTACCACAGTGCAGCACACAGTTGCCAGGGCACTCGGAAGATTGTGCACTTAAGTGAATCAGCAACTGATATCGGCCGAACCAAGGCGGGCCACAGCGCGTTCCCGAGTCGGACTCCCACGCCAGCTGGACCCCGGTCACGGACCCGCGGCAGCACCAGGCCGGTCTCCTCCCCGAAACGAGCATTGGATGAGGTTGGAGGAGGTGCGGACATTCCTGCCATGTCTTCGAGCCTCGGGCCCCCGACATGAAACACCTTGAAGCCTGCACATATCGCGGGCATGTTTCCACAAGAACCTGGCAGGGGGACAGATTGGAGACCATTGTGGCGGCGCTTTGGCAGCGCCGCCTTGACATCAGCCGACTTTTTGCCTAAAACAAAGCATCCTAAACCCTCAAGGTTTTCGGCCCTCTGGGGAGCCTCCCCAGAGCTCAGCCGCGCCCCTCCGCGCAGGTGCCGCCATCCCAGCCCCCGGGCCTCTCTGCGGCTTCCGACTCGCAAGGAGGTTTAGGGTTCATATTTTGGCGGGCTTCGTGGCTTCATTAGGGTTGGCCAAGGCTTCTCAAAGGAAAAAGGGTTACAACTGGGCATCGTAGTTGTAGGGCTTTCATGAGTACATACACGCAGAGCAACCCGGTGTCGATTTCTCTAGCTGCAAGGGCCTCAATCAACGCCAATCACGACTCCCATCAAGAACCAGGTGACACGAAATAGACGGCAATGATTGGCTTGCAGATTTTGCAGGGCTTAGAGTTCGGGATCAGTGTTTCTAGGAGTGCAAGTTTGACAACTCAGACAAGCCAGACAAGGAATCTGAGTCAGTCGTTTAGCCGGCGCCTTGTGCAGCAGTACTAGCTTCCCGAATATGATCAAGTCAGATAGCCTGAAGTAAACAAACACGAAGTTTCTACTGGCCAGCACCTGTAGAGGGGCTATTCTGAAGCTGACCTAGGCTTCTCACAGAACGAAGACCCACAGCATGGAGCCGGCCCGGCCTTTGCCAACAAGAAGTAGCAGCCGTCTGGGAAGGTGGCAAGACCAAGCGTGCTGCCAACCTCCCGGTATTGGGGGCGCGAGCTACTTGACACTTTACGACTGGAACTCCCTGGTGCCCTTCACAGTGCAGAATCACGGAGTGGGAACGGCCCATTGCGCCGATGGAAACCTCATAACTCGGGCCACCTGATGACCTCAAAGCATCCCAGGAGCCAAAATGGGGGGGGGATGCTTCAAGGGGGATTGTGCGACATTTGGGTACATGAAGAAGTAAGGGTAACCAGGGTAACCCCACGCGAGACGCCTCCTCTGCCAAGCGTGTTGCAGCCGCACGGTCGGCACAGGAGCCAATCAAGACCTTGCCCGAGGCGAACCCCACTCCCCCACTAGCACGAAACATTCCCAACTTGCGATGCTACCAAGCAATTCTCGGCACATCATACAATGAACACAAACCTATAAGGTTCAAAACCCTGAGGCCTACGGTGAGGCCGACCGTAGGCCTCTTAAGCTCTGAAGCCGCTTCCCTGAATCCGTTTGGGGGCCATTACACTCTGAGAAGCGCCTCGCCCGGATACAGGCGACGCCAGATGGACCTCAAGAAGTCAGGGTAGCAATGTCTGGAGGTTCGGAGTATGGGGCTCTAGGGATTAGCGACGTATATGCTTTCATTGAAGTAGGGCTCCAAAACACTAAGATCCAGAAATCGTGTTTCAGGGGCATAGCCTCCTGGCACTTTGTTCGGGCTTCGTGTTACGGAAGTTGGAACTCTTCTGTGCACTTTGGTGGCGCAGGTCTGCTGCGTTCTGCCGCTTTCTTCGGCTTTTTTGGGTTGTGGTGCAGACCCGGACCAAATCTAGCTGCATTCGCTATGCGTGATTTGTAAGAAGGCCATCGGCTATAGGCAATCATGCCCTGGGTGCCCTGCAGCGTGGGTTTGCCGATGAGAAACGCTGCTGCAGAGCGGGTCTTGTTGGGCCACCTTAGCGGAGGCCCCTGTGGGCTTTTGTGGGCACCTGTGTGATGTTCAGGGCTTGGTGCAGCTGTTGATGCCTTTTGACGCGTAACATCATCCATTGCCAACAAAACCCACGAGGGGGCAAAGGCGGGTAAGACTGGGCGCACATCGTGGAGGAGCCGCTGGCGCCATGCTGACTCCTTCGCACATGCAAGCTAGTCAGTTCAATCCACCCCAACCTCCACTCCTACTTCATTCTGAGACCCATGTGACATGTCTCGTACAGACCCCTCTCCGTCCTCATAGCGCAGCCACGAATCTGCGCCCGCCTCCCACATCAACGTCGCGTTGTCTACATGCACACAAGTCCGAGCTGACACTGCAACCAGGCGAACCCAAGAGCCAAAGCATTCGCCCGTAAAAGCCGCCATGCGTCACGCGTGAAGGAGCCTGATGCAGTAGGCGAAGGCGCCCACCGCCAAGGCGCGCTGCAAAGGCGGCGATGTGCCAGGAACTGGTCTTGGGCGCTCTTGTGGGTACGGGAGACAGTTCAAGTTGTTTTGTCATTTGCTTTGTTTTTTTTTTTTGTTTTCTCCTTTTTTTGTTTTTTTTTTTGCGGGGGGCGGGGGGGGGGGGATGCAGGGCGCCCTTCTAACCAAACAATCGATCCGGCACGAAGCGAAATTTCAACAAAGTCCACCTCATCGTACAATCTCTAGCGGTCGGCGTGGCAGAAACTACATTGGATTTATGTAGGAATGTCCCGCCCAAAAGTGTTGAAGCCCGCGCAAATCAAACCGACTCGCGCTGCTTACATACATGATGTACCTGATCATGTATGTGATCGTCAGCAAAAAGGATTGCTAGTCGCTTGGAGAGATGAAAATCCTATTTAGTCCTACTTGTACTTAACACGGCCGCCCCTTTGGGCAAGAGACAGAGTGACCCTAAAAGATCACAAGGACCTGATGTTTTAGGCTGTATGAGGCTGGCACACCCATGGTATTGTTCCGAGGGTTTCCCTGGGATGCAAAACGGTGACGTGGCAGCTCAGCTCGGTCTAGCTGTGGTCGAGCCGCTGCGTCTGAAGCACGCTGTGGATGGCCTCGGGGCAAGCCCACGAAACTGCCAGATCTCCAAAACGATAAAGATGCATGTATAGCTGCTCTTCACATCGCGCGATCGGGTGGCCTGAACGAAGAGGTGCCCGGCCACGACAAAGGGCACGGCCAGGTCCGGTAGGGAGGGCCGTCGGCGAAGTGCCACGGCCTGCATTCTCCCGCATTTCTCAGAACACTCCCCCATTTGCCCTGACCACTACGGTGCCCGTAACCCATCGCATGAAGCACCCAACCTGCCCAAAAAAAGCTCGCTTCTTGGGCATCCCTGGCCTGCAAGTGCCTCCAGGCAAAGTCCTGACCTTCCTTGGTTCCCGCATCGCTTACAGCTGCAGCTAGCTTTGCAGAGTCGTAGAGAAATCCATTCCGAAACCCAGGTAACTGCGGCCAGCTGATTATGGCTGAGCTGTGACTCTCAGCCAGGGACCAGCCACGAGACTCGCAACTAGGCAAGATGCATCTCCCCACCGGAGCCCTTTGAAACTTTGGCCTCGGCCTCGGCCTCGACTCCCCCATCTTTGCCGCGCGGCGCCTTCGAGGTCCTCGAGCTCCATGATGCCTGTGCTACGGCAGAGGCGGCTGAAGAGCCGATAGCGCCGGACCTGGAAAGGGCTCGGGCTTTGTCGGCAATCCTAAAGATGTACATGTAAGTGCATATATATATATATAGATATATATATATATATATATATGGTCACCCCCCCCCCTCGACAGACCCCGGAATTGTATTTCCGATCTGTCCAGGAAGGGGGGGGGGGAAGAGCACCACTCCAAAATTCCTCGAGTTTCCAAAAATCCAAAACTCCAAAAAAACCCAACCCCAGTTTCGGATTTTTTGGAAACTCGAGGAATTTGCTCAAAATCCAAAAAAACCCAAAATTCCTCGAGTTTCCAAAATCCAAAAATCCAAAAATCCAAAAACCCCAACCCAAGTTTCGGATTTTTGGAAACTCGAGGAATTTAAAGTTCCTCGAGTTTCCAAAATTCCAAAAATCCAAAAATCCCAACCCCAGTTTCGGATTTTTGGAAACTCGAGGAATTTGCTCAAAATCCAAAAAAACCCAAAATTCCTCGAGTTTCCAAAATTCCAAAAATCCAAAAATCCCAACCCAAGTTTCGGATTTTTGGAAACTCGAGGAATTTGCTCAAAATCCAAAAAAACCCAAAATTCCTCCAGTTTCCAAAAATCCAAAAACCCCAACCCAAGTTTCGGATTTTTGGAAACTCGAGGAATTTGCTCAAAATCCAAAAAACCCAAAATTCCTCGAGTTTCCAAAATTCCAAAAATCCAAAAATCCCAACCCCAGTTTCGGATTTTTGGAAACTCGAGGAATTTGCTCAAAATCCAAAAAAAACCCAAAATTCCTCGAGTTTCGAAAATTCCAAAAATCCAAAAACCCCAACCCCAGTTTCGGATTTTTGGAAACTCGAGGAATTTGCTCAAAATCAAAAAAACCCAAAATTCCTCGAGTTTCCAAAAATCCAAAAATCCCAACCCAAGTTTCGGATTTTTGGAAACTCGAGGAATTTGCTCAAAATCCAAAAAAACCCAAAATTCTCGAGTTTCCAAAAATCCGAAACTGGGGTTGGGGTTTTTGGATTTGTGGAATTTTGGAAACTCGAGGAATTTTGGGTTTTTTTGGATTTTGAGCAAATTCCTCGAGTTTCCAAAAACCCGAAACTGGGGTTGGGATTTTTGGATTTTTGGAATTTTGGAAACTCGAGGAATTTTGGGTTTTTTTGGATTTCGAGGCTCCCGCTCGAGTTTCTAAAAATCCAAACCTTGGGGTGGAATTTTTGGATTTTGGGAATTTTGGAAACTCGAGGAATTTTGGGTTTTTTTGGATTTTGAGCAAATTCCTCGAGTTTCCAAAAATCCGAAACTGGGGTTGGGATTTTTGGATTTTTGGAATTTTGGAAACTCGAGGAATTTTGGGCTTTTTTGGATTTTGAGCAGATTCCTCGAGTTTCCAAAAATCCGAAACTGGGGCTGGGATTTTTGGATTTTTGGAATTTTGGAAACTCGAGGAATTTTGGGTTTTTTTGGATTTCGAGGCTCCCGCTCGAGTTTCTAAAAATCCAAACCTTGGGGTGGAATTTTTGGATTTTGGGAATTTTGGAAACTCGAGGAATTTTGGGTTTTTTTGATTTTGAGCAAATTCCTCGAGTTTCCAAAAATCCGAAACTGGGGTTGGGATTTTTGGATTTTTGGAATTTTGGAAACTCGAGGAATTTTGGGTTTTTTTTGGATTTTGAGCAAATTCCTCGAGTTTCCAAAAATCCGAAACTTGGGTTGGGGTTTTTGGATTTTTGGAAACTCAGGTTTTGGTGAGATTCTTTTAGGGGTTCTGCACCCATGAGAAATATGAATTTGGAAACTCGAGCGGGAGCCTCAAAATCAAAAAATCGAGCAAATTCCTCGAGTTTCCAAAATTCCAAACCTTGGGGTGGGTTTTTTTGGGTTTTTGGAATTTTGGAAACTCGAGGAATTTGCCCGATTTTTGGATTTTGAGGCTCCCGCTCGAGTTTCCAAAAATCCAAACCTTTGGGGTGGATGTTTGGATGTTTGGATTTTTGGATTTTTAGAAACTGGATTTTTGATAAGAGTTTTTCAGGGGTTCTTATATGATTCCTTATTATGTTTTAGGCTGCCTATTAAATTTAATAATACTCCTGTTCACTTTAACGGGAGTCCTTATTTAATTAACAAGACTCCTAATCATTTTACTAGCATTCTAAGTGATTTTCAATGGCAATGGGATTCCTGTATTTGTTTAATGGGGTTCGTGTTAGATTTTAAAGGATGCCTGTTAAAGGACTTTATTGGGTTTAATATTGATTCCTATTCATTTCAATCAAATGCCAAATAATTGGAATCCGATTCTGAGTAATTGTAATAACATTCTTCTTCCTAGTTAGTTTTAATAAGTCTTAGAAATTTAAAAAGCTTCATAACAAATTTTATACATATTCCTATTAATTTCAATAGGCTTCTTATTCATTTTCATAAGATGTCTTATTCATTTCAATTGGACTCGAAGTAATGTTATTGTAACTCTCATTTGTTTTTTTAGCAATCCTGTTAATTAAATGTTTTAATAGTGTTTATTATAATTCTAACAGTACGACTCTTAGTGTTTGAAGTTTTGAAGGGTCCACATGACTCTTTTGAAAGAATTTTATTGGCTCCTCTTAATCCTTTAATAGGATTCATCTTCATGTTACACGGATTCCTGTTACTCTTAAAAAGAATTCATAGATTCTTTTGTCGGGTTCCTATTAATTTTAATAGCATTCCTATGAATTCAAAAGGGTTCCTATTCATTTGAATGGCCTTCCTATGGTTCCTCTGAATTTAGGACGCCAAGAAGTTTTAATAGGAGCTTCTACGTATTTCAACCAGGTTCTTATTAATTGTACTAGGATTCTTACTAAGTTTGCAAAAAAGACTCGTCTTAATTTCAATAGGGTTCTCATTCATTTTAATGGGGTTCCTATTGATTCAAACAGGATTCCTATTGAACTCATACGAAGCCTATGAATCCTAATAAACTTAATAGGAACCCAAGTAAAACTAAGAGCAACCTTATTAAAATGAATAGCAATCCACGATGTCGAGCAAATTGTTCAGGTCCTTACAGCATGCGTCCTTCTCACATCTGTCTGCATCTTTCATTGCGAACACAAAGCCGTACTAATCGAAAAAAATATGCTCTACTGTGTGCAGCTACGCTGTCCGTCGCGCCCTCAGCCTTTTTTTCGCTTCCGGGGTCTGTCGGGGGGGGGGGGTGAGCATATATATATATATATTTATATGTGTGTGTGTGCGTACTTGTATGCCTCAATGTATCTGTGTTTTGAAGGTGAAATATGACATATAGAATCAAAACGCGCAACTCACCTATCAATGCGTCAACGGGTGTTTCAAGTTCTCCACTCGTTTTTCAAGTTTTCCACTCTGGGCTTTTTGGTGCTTGCCTTAAAATCGTCGTCAGCACTTTCGTAATCGATGGCAGGCAAGAGAACTTCCGCAGCCATCTCCGTGTACCTGGACAGACAGACCCTTGGTTTCCGCACGACAAAGTGCGGCAGAATGTGGCACAGATGAAAAAGACGGAGCTCTGGTTGCCACAACCAGTGCGCAGAGACAAGTCGCACGGATGCACGGTCTCTCTAAGCTTTTTTAGGCTTCCTTTTGGGCCTCAAGTGCCTCGACTTGAAGCCTGAATCTGTTGTGGCTGCGTATGCAAGTCGTGCGTGAGCAGCTCAAAGCGGGCCCGAGCCCACAAACCAGTGCAGCCTTTGCTTCTGTGACAACGACGCTATGCTCTCACCTCCGACAAACGCCAGTGCAGCTTGGGGCACTTTGCATAGAGACCGCCGTGGCTGAACGTTCTCAGAAGCCTGGGTGCCATACTGCCAGTGAACCAGAAACCGCCGAATCCCATCTCATCTCCTGACAGCTCTGAATTCTACCTGCAGCATGTTGACTGACGTGCGAGATTTACAACTATATTGGCCGCTAGCATTAGTATTCTCAGCTTTCCTGTTAACACTATTCTTCAAATTATTCTTCAGACTCTTTAAGCTGTACTGCCTGATGTGTCTTACATTGCCGTTTGAAACCCACAACAAGCCCCCCGGGCCCGGCGCGGCGCCGAAGGAAGCTCGGCGGCACTGAGCTCGGCGGCGTATGGCCCGGAGGTGCCTCAGGGGTATCGGGTCTCTTGCCAACCGCCAAAGCTGCTTTAGTTCCACGGAGCATACTCTCTCTGGCGTTCTCTCTTTCTTTCTTTCTTTCTTTCTAGGGGCTTGGGGTCTGCGCCCCGGGCATCTATGCCCGCCCCTGTTTCGGGGTGGAGTGGTCGGTGGCCGGTGCCCGGGTGTACTCTGCCAACTGTTTAGCCCCCCCCCCCCCTCACACTACCCCTCTGTAACTGGTTAGAGCAGGTTGGCCGCTTGACACCCCGGTACCTGGCGTTCTCTCTCTCTCTCTCTCTCTCTCTCTCTCTCTAGTTCTCTCTCTCGTTTTCTTCTCTCTCTCTCTCTCTCTCTCTCTCTCGAAAGCGAACGGCAGGTCCCAAGTTCGGACTGCAGATCAGCAGCTCCATACGGAGCATGCTGAAGAGAACAATTACCCAACTCACGTAGCCAATCAGCAGAGGCGAGGGGTTGGCGGGGCTTGGGATTTGCATTGCTGATGTCTGAACGTCTCTGTGGGAAAGTGAAACACTGCACTTTACCTTTTCTTGCTTTCCTTGGGATCGCAAATCGCTGATGGCTAGTCTGATTGGTGCTCTGCTCTGGTTTTCGGCTCCGGTTTGTGGTGTAGGGGGTTGCGCTCTCTAGGGTTTTCGACTCTCACTCTGGAGCGTAGGCTTCGGTCCGTCCACGCTACTCTACCGGTTTGCCGTTGACCAATTATGTCGGCCAGAACTCCAATCGACTCGTCTAATACACGATGTTCAGCTTACGCTTCTGGCCCACATGTGGTCGAGCACATCGAAGCAAGTCCAATAGGCTAGCTGCAACATCCGAAAACCCTCTCTCAGTACAGCCAAGGAAAAGGATGGCGAGTCAGGACAGCTTGGGTGACCGCGCCAGCAAAGGCGAGCATAGCCAGACGTCCATTCTTGAGCTCGGCCAAGCGCATCTTCTTCTGGCCCTCTTCGTCGCTGGGGAACCAGCTGGTAAGACCATAGTCACCAGCCACCTCCAAAGAGTTCCACTCGAAGACCTTCTTCGTGCAGCAGAGCTCCACGAGGCTGACCCAGAACAAGATCTGGGCGTTGACACCTGTGGCACCGCGGAAGGCTTCGTGAGCATCGATGGAGACAGGCACGGCCTCGAAAGAGAACTTCTCGCCCGGCAGGCGAACGAAGTCCGGGACCACCAAGCCGAGCCAGGCGAGCATACAGATGCGGCCGTGCTTGAGCTCCGCCTCACGAAGCCAGGGAACCTGCTCCGTTTTCGAAGAGAAGCCCAAGGGATCGAACTCGTAGCGCCCCCAAGCACCCTCGGAACCCACCAAGCCCTGAGCAAACTTGCCGTTGTCAAGGAGATCGATGCCAGAGTCCTCGTAGGCGACGGCTAGCTCGCGGCGAGCTGACTTGCAAGCGGCCTTTTGCACGGTGCGTGCCCGCGCCGGGCGTGCTGAGGCGAGCACAGTTGCTGCTATTGCGCCACCGGCAGCAATGGCGCCAATGGCACCCACACCGGAGCCCGCGCCGGCTGTAGAGCCACGTAGATGCGGAGCTGCTGTCGCGCGCGCACCTGCGCCTGACAAACTCTGGAGGAAAGTGGGCGCCACGAGGCTGGCGGCCGCCCCAGCGGCAAGCGCGGCAAGGCAAGCTGCTGTCTGGCTGCTTGGCATGGTGAGAATGGTGCGCAGAGAGTCGGCAGGATCCCCGTTTTGGGGTTTAGGATTTTGGGGGACGAGCTGCGAAGCGAGGCAGGACGGGATCCGGGCGGGTTCAAGCCGTTGCAAAAGGGCTTGGGGTGGCCTTCGGGTTTCGGTTTATAAGGGTCTGGATCGACTCGGTTGACAGCTGGGTTTAGGTAGTCTTTGGGATGCTTGACAACTCGAAAGAGCAGGAGGACTCAGGACGAGATGCAAAGTAGATCACACCGACATGTGTGTATATGTCCATATATACATGTACATACATACATACATACATACATACATACATACATACATACATACATACATACATACATACATACATACATACATACATACATACGTTACATACGTTACATGCGTTACATACCTTACATACATTACATGCAATACATACATACATTACATACATAGCACAACATAGCATAACATAGCATAATATAACATAACATAACGTAATGTAACATAACGTAACATAACATAACATTACACTACATTACACTACATTACACTACATTACACTACATTACACCACATTACACTACATTACATTACATTACATTACGTTACATTCATACATTACATTCATACATTACATACATTACATTACATTGCATTACATTACATTTCATTTCATTGCATTTCATTACATTTGATTCCATTACATTACGTTACAGTACATTTCATTTAACTTCATGACGTTATGTTACATTGCATTACATACGTAGAAGCTGCCGAGGCTCCAATGCTCACGTCCCGCACGCTGCCAGAGTTGATAAAGAGTCGCCACTCCTCGGCTTTGAATCAAAACTAAGCACGATGGTCGACCTCTACATCTCAATAAAAATGAAAACTAGAAATAATATGAAGAAACAATACTTCTCATATTATTGTACTGTAGTAGAGTATAGTACATACATACAAACCCTAAACCCTAAACCCTAAACCCTAAACCCTAAACCCTAAACCCTAAACCCTAAACCCTAAACCCTAAACCCTAAACCCTCAACAGTATAGTAACTGCAACTATAGCACATACATATATATATGTTGTAAACGACGAGTCGCGCCGGCGAGTCTGTGGAGTGGCTGTGGAGGGCAGCTGAAGGAAGCATTCCTTGTGATCAAAAGGAGGTCCCTTTGAGAGCATAATCCCAAATCTCTCTTCATACCTACATGTGTAGAAATATATGTATGTATGTATATATATATATATATATATTTCTGCATGTAAACATAGACTATTGTATTCTATAGTATTATAGTACAGGTAAAGTATAGTATGTATCCGGCTTCTACGGTGTAACTGGAGCTGTCTGCTTCTTGCCGAATCCTCCAACTCCTCTAAGTTATGATGCCGGTTTGGGGTAGCCTGAAACGTACAAGGGGGGGCGACATAATAACAGCGACCCGCCATACTTCAGAGATCTGACCCGCTCCCTTTCTTCGGCTCTTTCTTAAAGGCACGTGGCTGGAGGCCCCCGCTCGGGCTGGGAATGGCCGCCACCCTGGCAGCCATGGCTCCACGTGGACTCCATGGTGCGCAGTTTGACGCTGCGAGCAGTGTGGCCACTTTGTTAACCTTTGTGATAAGACGTATGATATTCACCTCCTACAACATAATTCATCTTGTAGAAGATTGCTTAAGATGTATCTTCTTTAACGGATACCCGAAGAACCCTAACCGCAAACGACGTTAAGTCACGTGACCTGCCTTGGCATTCAAGGAAGTCTATTGCTTCGATAGCTGCCACGTAACAAGGCAAATACCAGGTTTTCTTTTTTGCCACCTGCCTAGTTGACACTCACGATGGATTGCCAGGTTCATACCAAAATTGCAGAAAGTGCATTTGAAGCTTAGCTGCGAACCTGAACCACGGCAGCCTTCCTATCTCGTTTCTTCCCGAGAGGACAAAGCATAAGCTAAACAAACGGAAAAACCAGATTAACTCAAAGGGTTTTATACAAGGTTGCTGCCAAGATAAGGTTTGGAAATGAGGGTATAGGGTGTGCTTTCCACTTGCGGGTATGGCATTGCAAGGGTTAAGGGGCCTAGCTGATGTCTTGGAGCCAGGGACTTCTTGAGAAGCGTTGCATCCATTTTGTTTGAATCTTGCGGCCAAGAAGCCCTAAACCAGAAGGATGTCTAAGCCCTGAGAGTCCTTGCCCTCCTCCTACCACCCCCCCCCCCCCGCAAATGGTCACTGGAACCTCTGAGAAGTGCTAAGGGGGAGCATCGGCGCTGTTCATCTACGCTAGAACGAGCAAGGAGGGAATTAGATCGAAAGCTCCAAGTGCAGGTTCGGACATGGTCCAGAGCTCTTTTTCAAGGTCAAGCCACTCATACGAGCACCGCCTGTAGAGCATAGGATACCCCCGTCCTCTGTCCGTCACATCGTTTTGGCTTGCCCGAGGTTGGGGGCTTCCGAAATATCGCTTCTATTTGCCGGGGGTCTTGTCTGGCCCCCCCCCCTTTTTTTAATTCCCGTGCCAATACTGGAAAGCTGCGACGAATCAACAGGCAGTCGCTCAGATGCTGCGCTGGGTCTCGACTGGCTGACGGTGCAGGTCATACCCCTCATCTTCGTAGTGCGAAAACAACTTCCTATTGGAATTCGCTATGTACTGGCCAGCATAAAACGGCACCACAACCTCACGGTGCCCGCCCGGGTCCCCAAAAACGTCATGCGGGTCAATCAGAGCATCCGAAGAGGGATCGTAGAAGATAGAAACCCCATACCGGTGACGGCTGCGATTGCCATTGACAACACGGTGGATGGTGGACTGGAGGAACCCAGCGGTCCACATCTTCAGAATGTTGCCGATGTTGATGACCAGTGTGTTCTTCGGGGTTGAAGAAACACTAGTCACAGGAGCCAGAAGGAAAACTTGCCTGGACCTATGCTCCATACATTGCCCCGACTTTCAACTATCTCAACGCTATACCTGACAAATGTCGAAATGTCGATAAGGTGTCCTTGACAGGCTTCACATCGATCCATTGCTGGGAGCGTCTCGAGAAGAACTGAAGTCCGCCATTGTCATCCTGCAACACTACCTCGGCCCGCTGCTAAACAAACGCTAAACAAACGCTTTGAAGCGCATCGCATGGACATTATGCAGGATTCTGCTAAACGGATGATGCTTGGCTCCTGTGAGTTCTGGGCATAACATCAAGAGCTGAAAGGCTCCCAGAAAGAGATTTGCCCAGCTACAGTGATAGCCCCCAAATCGAAATGAGGGCCAACAGCGTAAATCTGCTCGTCGCGACGAGTTGGCACCGGGTAGTAGAGGAGCTGACCCCTTCCCATTGGCTTGTCATAGAACTTCTTAAAGAAATTGTGATCGCTGAGTCCAAGCCCAATGGCGATGGCTTGAAGAATTGCCTCACCAATTTTCATCACACGGTCGTAGTACGCATAAACTTTAGCCTTTAAGTCTGGCATGTGCTTGTCAGGCCATCTGTTGACGGCGAGCATCGGCTTCTGTCCGATGTCCGGATCATTGGCATCCAAATCAGGACCAAAGAACAGGATTTCTTTGTGATCCGAGATGTTGGTGAAGTGCATTTTGGCGGATTTGGACGACGTCGAATCCAACCATCCTCTCTGATTGCGATCGATTGCAACATCGGATTTCTGCTCCTTGGGCAAAGCGAAGAATGTCTCTAGGGCGGCCATGACCTCCTGGACCACCTCGGGCGGAATGCCATGGTCCGCAAGGTAAAAGCAGCCAACGTTGTGGAGAGCATCCATGAGATTCGAACTGTTGTTCTTTGAAATCTCGTCCAATGAAAACACAGGCGGCGTCATGCACTCAGCCTTATCCCCAGCTGCATCACAAACTGCTTCCTGGCAGACAGCCGTCCCGAGCAGCGCCAGCTGGATGAGACCAGCAACAAGTGGCATAATCAAGCAAAAGCCGCCGTGACAGCAACCCGTCAGGAAATTACCGCACTACCTCGAACATAAAGATACATAAACAGAAAGAAGTACAATATAGTTCAAAAACTCTCAGACGACTATCACTGCATACAGATATATAAGAAGAATAGATATGTGTATATACACATATATGTATATGTATGCGTACAGCACCAGCAGGCCTGGAACATTGTTGAACATACCTACAAGCTAGAAACCTACGTGCTATGCGACTCGCCGCGTGAAC